TTTCCACTTTATTTTCACTTTCTGGCCCACGTATGATAACGTCCATAGGCTTTTCTAAGCTGAGATCCTCTGTCTCACACTACCCCATGATTCCATGTGAGCCTGGAATTACCCCTCTATTGGAAGTGCTTCTTCCCAGAAAAGTATAGTCTACCCTTCACATTTGTGGTTTTGACTTTTGTGGATTTGATTATTCAGATTTGATTAATATGTTTTGTCTAGGAATCTCTAGGTCCTCCAGTGTGACTCTGTTGGAAGTTGACCATAGAGTCACACTGGAGCACCTAGAGATTACTAGAAAAAACACTTCCCTAGGCATCTGTAGGTCCTCCATCATGATTCTATTTTCAACTTCTGGCGGATGCAGAGCACAGAATTGCACTGGAGGACCTAGAAATTCTCAGCAAATTTCTGTCAGGTTAAAAAAACCACTGTTTTTTAATTTGCGTTTTTCCATTTTCACAGGGGTCCTGCACCCCTAACCCCAGTGAATGTGAAGGGCCCACTGTACATTCACTGGCACAGTGAGGGGAGGAGACAGTTGCCCAAGCATTAATCATACTTAACCATACCCCCAGGTTCACTGGGGCTAGCAGGACAGAGAAGAATCTCAGCTATATAATCTAAGCCAGGCAACTCTGCCTTCATCTCTTGCCTCACGGTTCAAATCAGATGCATGTATGGGCCCCAAAGTAGTACTACAGCTGCTGTTCAATGCAATGTTAATAATAAAATAATGTATTTTATATAATGGGGCTTATTATAGCCACAGAGCTCTGAAGCCTCCTATCCCCCTCCCCTTCAGAGCCCCATGGAACTTAATGTGCACCTTTGATAAAGGTGATTTCCTCTCCCCCCTTCCCTCCTGAGGCTGAGAGAGTGTGATTTGCCCAAGGTTTCCTGATGGATTTCTGTGGCTTCATGGGGAATTTAACCTTGATGTTCCAGAGGACTAGTCACAATACGCTGTCACAGGATTTTCTTAGCAATATTTGTTCAGAGGAGATTGCGATTACCTTCTGAGGCTGAGAGAGTGTTATTTGCCCAAAGTCACCTAGTGAGTTTCTTGCCCGAGCAGGGAATTGAACTCTGATATCCTGAGCCATAGATCCAACATTCAAACCACTACACCACAATGGCTCTTGCTGGCCATATAGTAAAGTACAGTAACATCCAAAATCCACAAAACAGTTATATTCAGCCACTGGTGTTAGGGCTGCATCCGCACTGCAGAAATAATCCAGTTTGGCACCGCTTTAACTGCCAGGGCTGAATACTATGGGATTCAGGGATTTGGTAAGATATTTAGTCAGAGAGCTCTGGTGCCACAATAAACTACAATTCCCAGGATTCCCTAGCACTGAGCCAGGGCAGTTAAAGCGTTCTCAGACCGCAGTGTGTTTTGGAACTCTGACTTCAGCTGTGGCCCGCCCCTGGAAGTCCTGGTGCGGGAATGCCACTGAGTTTGGGCACTCGGTCTCTAAAAGGTTCACCATCACTGGGCTAGCCTAATCTCTGATGAGAGAGAGCTTCACAGCTGCATGGTAACCATTGAGAAGGCCTTCTCATGTGTGCTCACCAGATGTGACCATGATAGTGGTAGGGCAAAGAGAAAATCCTCTCTTATTAATCTTAAAGCACATACAGGGAGATACAGCCTTTCCAATAGTCTAGTTCCAAACTATACAGGGTTTTATACATCGTAATCAACAAGTTTAATTCTGACCAGAAATTAACCTATAGGCAGATAAGTATATATAAAGGGAGGCACATTGGGAGAAGAAAAAAAATCCCAATTTTACATATACACTGATGGATCTCAGTTGGGAAAAGAGATCTTGGGATTATGATGGCTATTTCAATTAAAACATCAGCCCAAAACCTGTGGAAAAAAGCAAATTTTATTTTAGGGTCCTTTAGGAAAGGGGTCAAACATAAAACTGCTAATACAAGCAATCTACTCTTGGAATGAGCCAGCATGGTGCAGTGGTTTGAGCACTGGACTAGGACTCTGGAGACCAGGGTTTGAATCCCAGCTTGGCAATGAAAACACACGTTTCAGAGGAAGGCAAAAGGCAAAACCCCTCTGAACAAATCTTGCCAAGAAAGCCCCGTGGTAGGTTATCATAAGTGGGAAATGACTTGAAGGTACACAACAACACTTGGTATCCTGCATATTGTTTTGATTGCCACATTTCAAAAATAACACTCTACAGCTAAAAAAGAGGCATAAATGGCAACCAAAATGCTAAGAGAGTGGAGCAATTCCCCTGTGAAGAGGAATGATAGTGACAGAGAAAAACAGTGAGTGGGGGCAGGCAGCACAACGGAGATGTACATGTTTATACATTCCATAGAGAACATAGAGAAAAGCACTTCTACTTTCATAAAATTAAAACCTTGAGTCATCCAATGAAGCTGAACCGGGAATGAGTCAAAACAGTAGTGCTTTTTCACAGAGTGCATCATTTCATTGTGGAACTCATTGCTAAAAGATGTTATGATAGCCATAGATAGATGACTGTTGTAAGGGCCTTAGACAAGCTCGTGAAGTGTAAAACTACAAATAACTTTTATTCATGATGGCTGTGTGCTGCCTCCAGAATAAAAAAACACTATACCTCTTAATGGCTGTTGCTAGAGAACAGTTGGAAAGTCTACTGAACACAAGTTATTGAACCTGTTAGACTAGATAGGTCTGAACCAGCAGGATTTTTCTAATGTTTGGTTATGGAGTGGCATATAAATTGCATCTATCAATTTATCATGTTCACTACACAGCTACTTCCTCTTCAACTGATATCAGATCCTCCACTATGGTAACAAAATAAAATTATGCTATAAACCAGTGATACACAAACACCTTGGGACCCCCCCCATACATCTATATGCGGATGTCACAACCCTCCCCCTTGACACAGTGTATGAATATTTTTTTGTTTATTTAGTGTGCATATTTTCATTCATACATTCATATTTTAACATTTTATAAGGAAATAACATCATTCAAATTAGAAGA